GAAATGCAGCAGGAGGACAAAACAGCAACAATTCCTGTGGGCTTGGCTGGTGATTCCATGCAGATTGAAACATCTACCTGCTCCTAACAAGGGTTACAAAGGAGTTTAAAAGATTACAAAGGAGAAAGGTTGAGTGGAGCTGCAGCTCCTTTGTCCCAGAGGATAAATCCCATTCAGCAGATGCTGCTAGCAGCCAGAACCCCGCAGAAATCCTGAAATGTGAAATATTTCAGGGATGCTTTTAGAGAATGATCGTTCCTATTCTTGCTGCTGACTCCTCTGCCCCGTTTCCATTAGTTTCTGGAAATCTGCAGGTAAATAACAATGCAAATTAAATTAGTGAAACAAGGTGATTCTTGGAGCAAAAAAATTATTTGTATGGAATGGTGTAGTAAGATGGCAAAAGGATATTAGTGTGTTCCTTCTTTTTTTAAGGAAGGAGGAGAGTTTTATTTGTTTTATTTTGGATTTGTGTTTGCTGCAGAAATTCATTCAGGGCAGTTGTACCCTGTGCTGCCCTGCCCTGCTGCAATTCCTGGTGCCAAATGTCCCCTTGTAGCCCTTCATGGTTTCTTCATGGCCATTAAAATATTTTCTCCACGATTATCTGAACACCAGGGGAGAAAAAAAGTGCTGTGTGGCTCTAATTCCATGGCTAAGCAAAATATTTGTTTGTGGCTGGCTCGTAGTCAGAAGAGAGGAATGAGATGAACTTTAGGGTCCCTTCCAACCCAAACCATTCCATGATTCTGTGATATTGCATTTCCCATTGAGCTTCTCTATTTTTTTACTAAATCATGGAAAAAAATGTTGGTCTAATTTGCCAAATTTCAAGGGAAAATGAGTTTTTACAGAAGAGGGACTTTGTGTAGCCGCAAAATTTCCTTATTGACACACCCTGATGAAGGGAAGGGGAAAGAGAGAGAAATCTTCTGGAGTGTGGCTGCCTTTGTTAAAGAGTTGAAAGGCAAATGCTGGAGCAGGAGTAGTCTGAAATGCAGTCTGTAAATTGTGTATTGATTTTCATCTCAGAGCAGCTTTTAATCTCAGCCACAACGAGCAGCTTTGATCTGCTCAAAGACCTGGCCTAGAATTTGGGGGGTTTTGCTTATCTTTGCAATTCTGCCTCTGGATTGAGGAATAAATCTGGGGGAAAATGGCACTTGTGTGTCTTTGAAAACAAAAATAACACAGATTTTTCACCCAAATACTGGAATTTCAAGGCTTTTGTCCCTCAGTTTGCTGTGCCTGTTCAGTGCAGCCCTGGGATCTGCCCTGAGCAGAATTTCCTTGGAGCAGCTGGAGCTCTCCCGACACAGCACAAACACACACACAGAGCCCATGGCAGTGACATTTTCCAGGGCTCCCATTCCTTCCATGATAATTTGAGATAAAAGGAGCCCCATGAGTTCCTGAGCTGCTACTTGTTTAGCTGGTTTTCTTAGTGCTGAGCCTCTACCTCTAATTTTGAGCCCAAGCCAGTTTTCCTGTGGTTCATTTGTTATCTGTTACATAAAGCAGAAGTTCAGCATCTCTCACAATTATTTTCCTATGGATATTGTTTCTCCTTCCTTTAGCTGGGGAAGGGTTTTGGATTTTTGCTTACTTCCCAAGTTTCCAACTATAATTAGAAGTTCTTTTTCAAACTTTACTACAGGAGGCTCAGGAAACTACAGCTGGTCCTCGGTGGCCCCAGCTGAGCATCTCAATAGGTGCTGGAGTAGCTGCAATTTGCACTTTTGCTGTGCCTATCAGGGCATTGAAACTGAAACTGGTGCTCATGAAATATCACAGGAGGACATTGCTGCCCAACGACTTCTGCCATGGAGCTGCTTCCTTACAGGAACAGCAGAAGAAGAATGCAGGGGAAAATAATTCATGTATGCCCAGAAGGTGGAAATCTCTTTACCAGAACAGGCTGTGCTGGGGAGCACTTGGCCCAAAACATCGAAAAAAAAGGGAGCAAAAGGCTCATTGGGAATGATCCAAGGGCAGCTGTGGCTGCTGTCACCACAGCCCTGAGGGTGCCACCTGTGCCCCTGCTGCTGGCAGGTGAAGTCCCTTGAGGGGATGCTGGCACGTTCCAGCACTGCCCCACTGCACCCCAGCTCAGGCAGGAGCTGCTGGAGAGGGCCCAGAGGAGGCTCCAGGATGGGCAGAGGGATGGGGCAGAGCTGGGATTGTTCACCTGCACAGGAGAAGCTCTGGGGTGAGCTCAGGGTGGCCTGGAGGAGCCAAGAGCAAAGGTGTAGAGAGGATTTGCAAGGGATGGAGGGACAGCACAGAGGGAATGGCTTCAAACTGACAGAGAACAGGTTTAGGTTGGATATTAGGAAAAAAATCCTTCCCTGTTATGGTGGGAAGGCCCTGGATCCCTGGCAGTGCCCAAGGCCAGGCTGGACATTGGGCTTGGAGCACCTGGGACAGTGGGAGGTGTCCCTGCCATGGCAAGGTGGGGTGAGATGGTCCCCAAGGCCCCTTCCATCCCAAAGCATTCCATGATCCTGGGGTTCATTTAAAACCCCATTTCTGCTCGCCAGGAGCAGCCTGGGCTGTGGGACAGGGTCCCATGGGGACACCCAGCCGTGGGATCAAGGCTGTGGGCAAAGGAACCTCCAGGCTGGGCCCTGGGCTCTGCTCTGCTCCAGGGATGTGCTCAGGGTCCCTGGTGCTGCCAGGCAGGACAGACACAGATTTCCACTTTCTGGGCATCCATGAATTTATTTTTCCCTGCATTCTTCTTCTGCTGTTCCTGTAAGGAAGCAGCTCCATGGCAGAAGTCCTTGGGCAGCAATATCCTCCTGTGATATTTCATGAGCACCAGCCCAGGAGCTGCTGATGCTTTGTGGGATTGTCCAGAATCCCTGGCAAGGTGGGAAGCCTGGGGGAATTTTACTGTGAAAAGCCAGAGGGTAGCTTTGAAAGCTGAGATCTAAAATTATTCTGTTTTCCTAATCCCAAAGAATTTCACACTGAAGATCTGAAGATGTGTTTCAGTCAGGTTTTTTGGTATCTGGGGTTTTCTTTCTCTTAAAGGAAAATGTGAAAGGCACAATATTGACTAGACTATTGCAATTATAATTTGAAATAATTTCACTTTTACATTGAAACTGACAATTTCCCTGTTCTAATTCAGCAAGTCGGTTTGAGCCTGACAGTTTTCCACGGTTATAATTAAATACATCTAAATTCATCCTTGAAATGTGGTGATGACTGACAGGGAAATCAGATCCATATTCCAGCCCAAGCAGGGAAGAGAAGCTGGAGCTCAGGGGGAGCTGTAAGATTTACCTCTCAACAAGACCCTTTTTTATTGGGGTTTCACACCACATCATCTGTGCTTCCAGCCACAAAACAGATCCAAGCAAGATTATTTTTCTTTTGTCTCTTGTTTCTTTTGTCTTGGGTAAAGTGGGAGCTGCCTTTTATTGCCTGTGAATCCCATACCAGGGATTTTCACCTCAGCTGTGTTATCAAAGCTCCTTTGTTTTATAAAATCATAAAATACACTTTCAAATCAAAAGGGGTTTTGCATCTAAGGTGTGATGGCCACATGGAATGATTTGTGTGAGTTTTAGGGGAAGAAATGTGATTCTGAGCCACAGTTTGTGAGAGGAGAAATGTAAAATGTAAAGAGACATGTACGGCTAAGAAACCTGGCTGGGATGTGATTTATCAGCATTCAAATCAGGCCCAAAATAACCCACAGGCAAAGGAGAGGTGCAGGCAGGAGCTGCACTGGGGAGAGCAGGCAGCAGGGCAAGGAAAAATGAATGAAATCAGTTGTGAGTGCACAGAGCTCCCTGCTGGGAGTTTGGCCAGCCAGGAAATGGGATCAGGCCTGGAGCTTCCCATTCCTTTTGTTTCCTTAGCTTTGACAGAGGAACAGGAGATATATTGATATGTAACTGTCTCAAGTTTTACTGGTTTTGGGGTTTTTTTTTGAATATCACTGATTTTAATTTGCTGTCCATTGGGCTGAGTAGTGCCAAACAGGGCTGGGATCTGACTTTGACACTGCAAGGGGGTTGTGCAGGGGGTAAATTTGCATTGATTTCAGTGGGGGGGGGGATCAGATCTGGGGATGAACAAAGGGTAAAATTTGTACTGATTTCAGTGAGGAGTGGCAAAAATCAGATGTGGGGATAAACAGAGAGTAAAATGTGCACTCAGTGTGTGATTTCAGTGAGGAATGGCAGGGGAGCAAAAATCAGCTCTGGGGATGAGCAGAGGATAAAATTCACACTGATGTCAGTGAGGGGAGTAAAAGTCAGCTCTGGGGATGAGTAGAGAGTAAAATGTGCACTGATTTCAGTGAGGGGTGGCAGGGGAGCAAAAATCAGCTCTGGGGATGAGCAGA